AGCGCGGAGACGGGGCCGCGCCGGCTGACTTATATTATTTATCTGGAAATGCTTTCCCCGTTTGGCCATGCCCGGCTATAGTTTGAAGCTCATTTACTAACGGAATAGCTGCTTGTGTGTCCTTAACATTACGTCTCCCTGTACCTTTCCCTCCGTGGAATCGTTCCTGGGCCCATCCCGTGTCTGCAGTGTGCCCAAGGCTGCTGCAAGCAGCTCCTGCTCCGAGCGTCCCGCTCCTGGGCTAGAGCAGTGCAAACGCACTCAGCAGAACGCTTCGGCCTCTCGGTTTGCATTCTGGGTGCACTCAATAATTTGTGTTCTTTGCAGCTGTGGTTCTTCTGCTGCTTATAATGAATTCACTATTATGCTAGATATAGTGTATTTTCAAGATTGATGGCACATTATAAAGCTCAGATGTGTATTTATTCCTTATTAATTTGGTAAGTTGCTAATTATTCGCTTGCCATAGACATTGCACATAATGTCTAATAAAAGATACTTACTCTGGCCTTTCATTGCAATTTATCTCATTTTTCTTTATTCATCTACATTTTAAATAGCTCAGCTCATCTAGTGATACAGGCTCACTCTACACTCAACAAAAGGATTTCAACAAGGACATTTTGTCCAAACACCTTTTTTAGAATGTAATGGATAATCCCATGGAGGTCCCGGTGTTTCTGTACTAAATAAGAGCAGTTCTAATTCTCAGCTAAGGCTAAGTGAGATGATCTTTTTTAGCATTGCCTTACTCATCCTTCCATATTTTTGGTGGGTATGATGGGTTTGTTGTGTTGGTGATCTTGCATTCCACCAAAATCCAAATCTAGTGAAAATGTAAAGAAACAGCACAAGTTGCACGAATCTGCTCTGCATTTGGCTTTGCTTGAGGGACATAAAGGCAGATTATTTTATTAGCAGGAGTTTTGATGGGTGTTATAGGAGAGGAAAGTGGTATTCTTTTAGTAAGTGAAAAATGCCTTAAGGAGCTGTCATTTGATTTCTGTAGCTGTGACAAGAAATATCAATACCATATAGATTCCTGGGAAAACTAAAATAAATAGAAGGAAGATGGAATAGATCTTGAAGGAAAAAAAAACGCCTCAAACAAACAAAAGAGTCAGAGAAAGAAAGGCTGTAATCCTCATGGAAAAAAAAAGAAAATAACCTCCATTTAGCATTCTTCAACAAAACATAAAATATGTATGGGTTTTGAATGGTTGGTGGAACCATTCTTTATTTGCTTATAAATGTTTATGCTTCTCATTTTGTTTAGTATAAAGTCATAGATACATAGGGAATTTAAGAAGTGTATGAACTGTAGCCTCCACCTGAAGGTAATTCCACTTTGAATGACAGAAGTGAATTGTGAATTGCAAAAGCAAGTACTAGACTGGGTAACCACCAAAAGGAGAGAGAGGTCAGTCTTTGTAATGAGTCACCATCAGGGGAGTCTTGTTTGACTCTTTTAAATACCTCATCTTATGGTAGGATTTGATATTGTTTTGGATAATGGTGTTGTAAATCTAAATGTAACAAATGCACTGGTGAGTCATGAAGGATTTTTCAAATGTTGGTAAAATCTTTGTACCACACTATGGTGTTTTCTGTAATAGATATAAGAGAGAGTGTCCTGGTTTAGGGCAAATTTGTTAAAGAATCTGCAAAGGAGGGCCCCTCCAGAAAGCGAAACCCACACGGCCCCTCCCCCCCAACCGGTTCGGGAAAAAATTCCTTGGAGAGAGGTGGAAAGAACCTGTTTATTTGACTGGCCCAGCACCCCCCAGCACACAAAATGAGCAATACCCGATGACACCGCTTTGAGAAAGATGGCAAAATCAGAAAGTCTCTTTCGGGGGTGGTTGCTCTGTTTTCAGTCCCTCCGGCGCTGGGCCAGCCGTTGCAGCCGAACCTTCGGTGTTCCCGGGTCCCAGTCCAGAGCAGGTTCCAGATGGTCACAGAAACAGGAGAGGAGAAACAGTCCAGGAAGGAATGTGGACTGTTTAGCTAATAAGCAGAGGCGAAAGCAGAGCAGAAGCAAGAGCAGAAAAAGAGAGCAAGCAAAAGCAGCAAGCAAGCCAGAAGTGAAAAAACAGCCCTATGTACCGCTTGTCTCTGTGTCCCTGATAAGAGAAACCCAAACAAAACTTCCACTCTTCAGAGCCGGTCTTAAAGGCACAGAACAGATGAATGGGGAGACAAGCATCATCGTCACCCCAGGACAGAGAGGCCTTCCTCCTTTTGAAAATTTGGCAGCCACTCCCCCATCCTCTAAATTTCGTACTTGCGGTTTAATGTCTGAAGCCTATGAAGGGCTTATCTAAAGGGAAAGAAATGATAGGTCTTTGATTGCAACTGTTGTCAGACACTCAGTGTAGTTGGTTTGGTGGAAAGTGCATTTGGAGAAAGCTTTGCTGAGTATTTCATGGGCATCATTTACTGAGAGTATCTGGACTACTCCTGACTTCCAGTGCAGGACCACAACCTATGGATGTCCGTGAGAAGAAGCAAACAAACATTCAAGATGGCAGAGTCACCCCAACGACTGAGGAGTTGTTCTGAAAGCAGTGAGTAAGTAACTACTATTAAGATTTTGAGCAGCAAAAATAATCACCAGATGTCTGGTATTCCCAGTCCTCCTACATCTTACATTTCCATGACATACTACTCCTTGTCACTACTGACTACTTTGAGATTTATGTGTAATTTTTTTCTTGTTGTTTTTGTGTATCAATGGATCTTATTCCATGGTATTTCTTAATTTACAGAATGGATGCATGCTTTGTGACTGGTCTTGGAAAGTAAACCTTTTTTCTATATTGATGGTCATAGTCAATAAATAAAATAATGAGAACCATTGCTCTTTTGGTCTTCTTTGTGTTGTCCGATTCCATTTCTGCTGGAGATCTATAAAATGCACAGTTTTTCATGCACACAAAATACTGATGTAGAAAGTGGCTAATAAGCAGACTTCAAAAAGGAAGTGTCAATAAGAAGTGTTCAAGCTGTTCATGTCAGGACGGATACCTCATGGATTGGCTGTAACTGTGATGTCTGTATTATAGTGGTGATTTTAAATTTTGGTGATTAACTTGATACAGAGATGGTGTTAAGGCTGCAGGCAAATGATCAGGCTCTTGACTAGGGCCTGGATGGAGGTTAGGCTGCCTGAGGGGAGGTGGAAATGTAGAGAATGTAATGAGAAGTTGCTGAGCATAGCATTGTAAGCAGCTGATGAAAGCTACAGATCAAACAGTGAAAGTTGGCTGGATCTCACGTGTCATTATGGAGGAGCTGTGTGAGGGACAGCCAAACTTCACGGGTGTTGAAGTGGAATATTTTGAAAAGGTCACCTTTCA